ACAAGCACTACTGAGCTTCACAAAACCTATTCACAGAAGGGAGTTGATAAGATCAGCTGATCTGTTTCAACTCCAGACTTTGGGAAGGAAGGATGTTTAAATGAAAAAAAAAAAATAACAAAAGTAAAACTCTTTCTCTTCTAGAGTAGGCTTCGTTTCCTCCTCCTTTTTCTCTCCAGTTACAAGTTTGCATCCTCTCTGGCTGCAGTTTCAGTCTTAGTTCTTTCAATACTGGTTCTTCTTGCAGACATGCTAGTCTGATTGCTTCCTCTTTCACACTGCTATAGGCTGATTTTGCAGGTTGAATACTATTCACAGTGAGTATCTGTAAGAATGGGGATTTTTCATCTGAGGGGATGGTGTATGAATCATCTGTTCAGCACTTGAAGGTGCTCGAGTATTCTCGAGTGGTGTGGTAGTTTGATGTTTGTTCTGACAATCTACTTTAGTAAACAAATGAGTTAAACATTTTAGAGATCTGTCATTTGTCTGGATTTTTCCAGGATTTTTTATATGAAGAACATCTTCCTAATTTAGAAATTAAATTCTGGGTTAAGGCAGTAGTCTACAGTAAGAGATGAGCATGCTACAATAAGAAAAAAATGATCTGTCAATATGTTTGTATATAATGTTAAAAGATAGCAAATATTTTTTTTCACTGTCAAACAACTGACCCATTTTGGTAGAATTTCTGTAGATATGCAGCATTCTAACCTACATCCCAAATAGCTGTTGTAGAACAGATTTATTTCAAAACAAACAACACCCCTGAAATAGCATCCAGTAAGGAAAAAATACCATGCTCTGTGTAAGATAGAAAGTGAGGTGACTGGCATTTTCACTCTGGAGAATGAATTATTGACAATCTGATTTTGTATGTCTGTTGGATATTAAAAGAATGATGGTGATTGCTAATCCCAGGTTGAAGGAAGAATTGTACCTAAATTACAGACCAGCACGTTAGTTCTTAAACACTTAATTGCTGACAGAAATGGTACAATAGAGAATACCCACAAAGATAATTTCTCTCATCCATTGCTAAAGCCTGGCAGGTTTAGCAAAAGATTAAATATGTTTCTGTATCCACCATTAGGTTCTGCTCTCTTCCTTGAACTTCCTTTCATCTACTTGAAATAGTTCTTGTCTTCTAGTACACTGGTAGCAGGCTGATTTACTGCTGTCTACTTAACAAGTATTATGTTTTCTCATTAAAATGTTACCTGTACTTCAGCAAGAGAAGGTATTATAGCATAAAGTTCAGAAAAGAAGGGTATTTAGTATGTGCTGTGGATTTATGGTTGTCATGAAACAGAAGTCTATCCTTTCTTTGGTACTTTAGGTACATATGAAACTACTTCATGAACATTTTGGGGAAATACTGCTTCCTTTCATTGTGTTCCCACTTTGTCTGATAGCAAGTATGGTTCAGTGTGTCTATCAAAGAAGCATAACTGATTGTATTAATGGAGCTGTTGGGTATTTCCTGAACTCTCCTCTCACTGAAATTACTACCCTGAAGAGAATGAAAGGACTGATAGTATGAAGAGAGGGTATGAAGAGCTCCACAGAATTTGATCGGATTATTGAGGGAAGAGTGAACCAAGGCTTTCAGCACGAGGCTACCCTCTAGTGGAATAATGTTGTACAGAAAAAAAAAAAAAAAAAAAAAAAAAGCGCACATTCTTTGTCAGTGGCAACAAGTTTTAATTAGACATGGCACATGATAAACAGTGTATGTGTGTACTTGTGTAGAAATGACCTAAAAGTAGAAAAAAAACCCTTTCATCTAGCATGAATTGAAAAGATATTTTTTCATTTAAATAGAATGGATATTTCTTGTTCTGTGACCACTGCACGTGGTTGCTCTGGAGAAGACGAGAGAAAAGTTGTAATTGAAAGAATTTAGTTCCGGGGTAATATAATTTAATTCTTTCTAGAATTTAGAATTTTCTTTTAAGACTTTTTAGAAGTTGGCAGTATTCTGTGCAAGGTGGACTTGTGCAGAGAGTATGTAAATCCTTGTCACATGTTCACTCTTCTATTTGTTTCTGTTCCTTCCTTCAAAGAGAACCCTCTGAGGATATTTTCTCTTTAAATCTGTGGTTTACATGAATGCATTCAGTTCAGTTTAACATTCTTTAATTTGCTGCAGGCCTGCTGCATTTGTAGCTTTATAAAACAAATGAAGGGAAATTCTGGGGATTTGAAAAGCATGCTGTGCTAACAGGAATATGTTATCTCCAAGTCCTTGAGTTTTTGAGGGACTAAGAAAGGAGCTTCTGGAATTTTAGTTAATTGATAGATATAAATGCTAAAGATGAGAAAATTGAATAGAAAATCTAAGCTTTCAAAAGGGAACAAAAATTTTTGCTGTGGTAACCAGAGTAGAGTGGGAGGGGATGTGTTGACAGGGTTTTCAGGTTTGTAGATTCCTGTTTGTATACATGAAAGAGATTTTGGTACCCATGTAACAGACTTCAGTAATAATAATAAACTGCAGGAGAGAAAAACAAAGAGATTGTTTTTAAAATGGAAGAATAAGTGATGTAATCTAAGAAAATAAGTTTGTTCTGGGATTTAAATACATATTTAGCTCCCAAATCAATGGATTTTGTTACTTTTTAATTCTCATCTACCTATTTCCTCATGGAGTTTTCTGTTTTGGCTGCCAAGAAGGATATAAAATTAACTTGTTACAGCCCGTCTTGTCAGACGTATTCTCAGAAGGAGGACTAGTTTGTAGATGTGTGAAGCTAGCCATGACAGATATAGAAATGCCCTTTTTCTAACCAATTCCTGTTATTCTCTGGATTTTAATTTGCCAAAAGTAGTATACTAAGTATTAGTACTCTAATATTAGATTTTCCTTTGAATTCAAGTAATAGAATTCCTAATTGGGAAGTGATTATAAGAAACAAAAGACAACTGCTACTTAAAAGACTCATGCAGTAAGATTTCTGGTAGAATTATTTCTATGTATAATGTATATTTCTCTATGTAGACTGTATTTAAAACTTAAGTACTACATTGTAATTTGTGTTCATAGCTGAATCTGTCCAGAATTAATATTAAAAAGGGCAGGGAGGAGAGGTTACTGTGGAATTAGATGCAGAGGTATTAACATGAAGAAAACATGCAAACAGTGGTGTGTTTTTTTTTTTTTTTTTTTTTTTTTTTTTTTTTTTTTTTTTTTTTTTTTTTTTTTTTTTTTTTTTTTAATCTACCTATGTTACGGACTGTTTAGATTCTAGAGAAAATATGTGACTGGAGAATTTTGGTGGCTGCAGAGTCACATATGTTTACATTAAATCAACTACGAGGAATTTAAGGAAAAGTGGAGAAAGTATGCCTTTGAGAACTATGCCTTAATACGTCATCTGGAAAGTTTATATTGTGCAGCACAGACTTTATAGTAAAACAGCCTGCTCATTTTAGTGATAAACAACTTGCTGATCAACTGTTTAAAAAAAAAAAAACTGTCAAAAAGCTTTGCAGTGCTGCCAATAGCTGATAAGTGTTTTGTGCACCCCATGCATTGTTGGGAAAGTTTGGACACTGCTTGTGTAACATTTTCTCGATTGTGGTAGGAAATAAAGGACTAAATTCTCTGGAATTATTTTTTATTGCTTAATGAGCAGATGTTCTCTAAAGTTAAGTAACTGTCTTACAAATTATAAAACATTACCACAGGCTCAGAGTTAATGGACAAAACTTCAGAGCAGCACTTCAGAAGGGAAGGACTAAAAACTTCAAAGATTTTAGAACTGTCTTTGTCAAAATGTAGTTATTTCATGTTATGACCAGTAAAAGATATGCTAGAAATAGTTTCTTCTGAGTATACTCTTCCACACAGAATGACACTTGCAGACAAAAGACTGAGTGTGGCAGCTAAAGAAAAAGGTTCAATATCCATATTAGTGTATGGTGGTTAGTCAAACAGTGGAAATGAGATAATGCTTTAAAGAATGCTTATGAGTAAACAAAGTGAAAGGAGAACTGACAGTTATTTGGTTTGCACTTCATCTAAATGTGGCAAAGCAATTATTTGAGCAAGTAACAAAGATTTAAGTGAAATGGATTGTTGTTGCATTCCAGTCTAACAGGCTTCTAGTTTAACAGGCATTAAAGCTTCTACTCGGATGCTAGAGTGGAGTAGTACAATGCAAAATGCAATGTTTTTCTACAAACAACATTAGTTCTCTGGTAATTAGGTTAAAATAGGAGGTTAGGAAGATTAGTGTAGCTGTTTTGTTCTTTTAACTCTACTTCTGTAAGGTTGTCTGTAGCTGTCGAACTATTTAAAAACATGGTTTAGTTAGTGCTGAAGGAGGATATTGATCAAAATGTTGACTATATTATATACGCTCCTTTCTTATGCTGAGATGTGTAATTATTAATGCGCTTCAAGGATGGATTACAAGATGGTGTTACTTCCCATGTGCTGATTTAAGGAACCAACAGAGATTTGAGGCCATATAGAGAAACAATTAAAATCTTTAAAAGTTGGACTTTCTTTAAAAGCATTTCTTTGACACCTATAATATGACTAATTTGCAATGCAAAGATTGAAATCTATAAAGAAATAAGGTGGAGGAAACACCCACAGCCTGACTTCAAAAGTACCTTTCTCCCTCCTTAAAATCTTAAAATGGAAAAAAAAAAAAAAATCAACCTCACATATTGTCAGGTTTTCTTCAGAAACCCAAAGTCATGGTGTTCTTCAGAACTGAAATAATTGGAAAGCAACAAAGCAAAGACAGAAAAGCTTGTTATTTTAGATGTTTGAGTTCCCGTTTTACATTCAGAGTTCAAGCTACTTTTTTCTTTCACAATACTAGCGTCCTTTCAGGAGATGAGTACACTTACGTTGTGGGTTATCTCAGCTGCATGTCAGAGGTGGCTTATTGCTCTCTTTCTTGGGAGGGAGTAGTAACAGTCTGCCTGTTATTGAAAAGTGGTGTAACTTATTGCCATTTTAAAGCAACTCTATTTGTTCACAGGTGTCAGCTGCGATGCATGTTTAAAAGGAAATTTTCGAGGTCGCAGATATAAGTGTTTAATTTGCTACGATTACGATCTGTGTGCAACTTGTTATGAAAGTGGTGCAACAACAACAAGGCATACAACGGACCATCCCATGCAGTGCATACTAACGAGAGTAGATTTTGGTAAGTGATAATTTAATTGTCACAATAGCCATTTGCAACAGTTACCATCATGATGTGTGTTTCCATATGTTTTACTTACTAACCTCACTAAAAATTTGAACAAGTTCTCATCTTCTAAAATTACATGTATCATCTTTAATACTAGCACACACAAACTATTTTACATATTTCTTTTTCTATTAATATGGTGCAAAAGAAATTAGATAATTTCATGTATTTGTTAACCATGACTATTCACCTTCCAGTTCAAGATGTTGAGGCAAATGTAGTCACCTCCTCGCTAGCACCACATTCAATATTCTTTTCTAAAATGTGGCACAGTGTAAGAAAAACGACGACGAGTTTGGAGGAATATTACTTTATTGTGTCTTGTATGGAAATGTAACAGCTGGTATAACGATAGGCTGTGTTGAATATAAAAAGACTTTCTGAATTTTGATCCTTTTGCAAGATTGGATATAAAAGATTTTTGATGAGGACTAGCAAGTAGTCCTCTTGGGCCACTTTTAAAGTCCTAATTACAAATGATTTCTGAAGGCAAAATGACATGAATATTAAAAAAATAAATAAAAAAAGAAGCAAAGTTCTTGTTCTTTCTGTCCCACCAGTTATTTTTGTTCTACCACTGTAGAAGTATAATTGTAACTTCAGAGATACCTCTGCTGTAGATCTTTGCTTAAAGATATTCATAGTGTTGGACTTGTCTGTGTCTGTTCTAAACCCATAGATCTTTTTTAATAACCAGCTTTTAGTGATTTCTGCTGTATTGTTCTTTAAATGTTGAGCTCTTAAACCCAATAATCTCTTAAAAGCTGAAGTTTCATTAAGTGTAGGTGACGACCTAATTAGTTAAAACACAAGTAAAATAACGGTAACATATATTTCCTCATGGATTCCATAATCAGAGAACAGTTGAATATGCAAAAATGGTTGTTTTCTCAAAACTGCCTTTCAGTGGAGAAATCTTTCATTTTGTTGTAATCTTAGGTCTCAGCTTGCCTTAGGACTGCCTAATAATGACTTCAGAAATGGACACCTTGGGTTTTGAGGGTTTGGAACGGAACATTTTAGTATGTTAGCTTAAATGCCTATGTGTTTTCATTTGCTTATGTCTCTTCTCAGGATGCTTTTTTTAAATTATTTTTTTTTTATTTTGTTTTTTATTCTCACTTACTAAAGAAATATAATTCAGTATCAGTATATTAATTCAGAGTACTGGTCGTAGTTAGAGATACGCATTTCACAGTTCTTTGGCCTCCAACAACCTTGGGGTAAAGTGACAATATTGCCATAAACATGAAGTGCTCCTGATGCATAGGAAGAGAGGACAGACAGGGACTTGCTGTGGAGTCAAAAGCTAGCAGGAAATGCTGAGATTTTCAGTGTATTGCAATATGGAAATTTATTCTCAGTCTTTAGTTCTAAAGAATTCCAGCTGTTTCATACTGTTTCTATCACTGAAGTGTAAGAATATCTAGAAAACATATTTTGCTGCTTACAACTTGCATATTTTTCTTTTTGGAAGTCTCTGTTAAATAAACACATCTCTGGGCTAATGCATTTTATTTGTGTATGTTGAAGAGGGATTTCTTAATGCTTATTTAACTATGCATAAATAATCTAAATAGAAGAACATTTTCGCTGAAGTCCTGGCATAGGCTACTTGCAGTTCTCAGAGTTTTTGGAAGCATTTGTGCTGCTGTAGTTTCTTTAGGTAACAAAGAAGGAAATGAGTTTTTCTGGTGTTTTCGTATGGCTTTACATCTGAGCATTGTTCCTTTAGAAGCACTGTTGGGGGATGGGAAATACTGCATCTCAGCACTCAGAGTTTTGGTCTGATCAGAACTAAGGGTCAAGAAAGAATAAATGAGACTACAGAGAATACAGCAGAAAGAATACCTCACCAGGTTATGAACTGCAGCAAAGGCTGAGAAAAGCACCAGTGTAGAAGTCGTGTAAATTTACGCTTTAGGAGATAAACTAGGAAATATTTGTAAATATGCTATTTCTTAGACTTCAAAAAGGGATGTGTTTCGTTTGTAAAATGTTTTTGTTTTAAAGTTCTTTTGGAATGAAAGGCATGTTAGAGTATATTTTTTGTCATATTGTGCAGATGCTTAGAGAAACTTCGGTAGCTTTTCAAAGGGCCCTTTGTAAGCCGGAAAATCATGTGACTTTGAGGAACATCCAAAAATTCAGGAGGTAGGGAACTTAAAATGAGGGAGAACGGATAGAAAGCAGCCTGTTTAGAGAAGTTAAGCTAGTTCTGCTAGCAAATGAAGAAATTGCCCACAAGAGGGATATAAATGGATTAAAAGAAACTATTTCTAAAAAGTGTTGGCAAGATAAAACTAGCAATAGTGAATTCTTTCACTTTCAGCTTAGCAAGCTGGAATGTGAGGGGAGAAAATGTTTTATACATTATAGAAATATGAATAGGAAATTTAATAGTGAAGAAAGCTAAGAAAACATCTATGAAAACATAGCATGGAAGACTGTATGGGTATATGTATGAATCCTGGAATATCTGTTAAGTGACAAATTTTAATCACACTGTAGTCATGTTGATTCAAAGGTATAAAAATTCTTTTTAATAAAAATAATCTTACAGTTCTTACTGATGCTGCAGTGGAAAGTAGATAACCTAGTAAAAGTTGAGTTTGTTTTTGTACAACAGAGAAGAAATCTGAGTGGGGAATCCTTTCAGTGCAAAACTACTGGTGAAAACTCTTCAGAGGAAGCTGGTGATGGTTTCTTGGGTGTAAAAGTGAGTGTGGGGGGATAGTCCTGAATGTGCTTTGCTTAAGATGCATCTGTAATTGCTGACAGAGAACCCAATACCTCTGTTTCCCTTCAGGACTGTGGCCAACAATATCCCCGTACAGGGGACTGTGGAGCTCACCTGAGTATTCTATACTTGAAGCCACAACCAAGTTCCAGTTTGCAGTGAGCAGCTAATCACATAGATGGGATTCTAAGGGGTTGTTTGCACTTGGAGCAGAGCCTATAATGCTTTACTTGGTCATTCTTTAGTGCTCCTATGCACTATAGTAATAAGGTGGTGCTCTGAAGGAGCTTTTGTTATTACCTTGATTTTTTTCTGAGGACTTGAACTCATGGAGGAACTCATAATATTATTAAAAATGAATAAAAAGCCCTAGTGATTTTTAGCTGTGCCAGCGTTCACAGTCTTACTGTGTGGTTGCCCTAATTTTTTATTATTAGAAATCAGTGTATGACCTACTATACTGTTGAAGGAAGATGGGACTCAAAACAATGACAGGAATATGTGTTTGTGCATGTAGATGATAGCTCCAGTTCTCCCTGAATCTGTAAAAAAAAAATGCTTATTGGATGCTGTAAAATCTTGAGTCATATGCTGACATAGTAGGCGCATAGCTTTTAAAATAATAAATGAATTTTGCATGTAGTGATAAATGACCTTAAAGCACAATTCCAGCTGGCATATTTCTGGAGGGCCAGAATAGCAGTAGGTCTCTGAGGAACAAGTGCATGCTTACTGGGCAGTCACTGTAGAACTCTGTTTTTGTAGAACAGCTAGTCAGGGTAGAGAAGCTGAAGGCAAATTTCCCAGTTCTGGTTTTCTTGAAAAACAATTTGTTGTCACCGACTCTGAATTCTAAACTGCTGAGGTGCTTCATGGTTCTGAGTGTGCGGCCTGGTCATTATTCCTGTGATTTAAAGAGATTAGTCAAAAGTAATAGTACAATTGAAAAAAAAAAAAAAAAAAGAGCAGCAAAATCCTATTGTGTTACATCTACTAAAATACAGAATAAATATTCCTTCAGGTATCTGCTTAGATGCTAATGGGACAAAAGGTACTATCACTTCCTATGGTTACTATCATTTGGGTAGCTGGCTATCTGAGGACTAACCTTAGTAATATATGCTGTGAGGTTTGGCTGACTTTACTGGAATTGTGCTCAAGGCTTTTCTATTTTCAACTACTGGAATAAGATCTGTGTATTAATTCCATATTTTTCAAAGCCATATCATCACAGAAAAGTGTTGACTTCAGTTTGAAAGGGGTCTGTGGACATCATGTGGTGCAATGTGGAGATCACTGTGTGGGAAGCACACTGGGCCAGGTCTCCAGTGAGAAAGGCTCTACCTCTTGTGGGCAACCTATTTCAGTGTTAGATAGTTTTCGTGGTGAGGAACTTGTGCCTGCTGCCTCTTGCCTGTTTGTGAGGAGAATGCCTCACTCTCAGGTATTAGCTGCCTAATACCTGAAGGTTGGGATTAGATTCCTTCACCCACCTCTCCAGAGCCTTCTTCAGACAGGATAAACACATTTTTTTCAAATTTCTTTCATCTGTCAGGTTTCCCTGGCATACAAAGGGAACCTTACTTGTTTCCCACTGCACCCTCTGAAAGTCACTCTTGAACTGGGATATCAAAACTGAACCCAGTCCCCTGATGTGGCGTAACAAGTGTGGACTAGAGCAGCATAAATGCAGGCCTTGATCTGCTGGCCTCTCTTGCAGATTTGGCCAAGAACACAGTTTGTTTAAGCAGTACAAGGGCACACTCCTGGCTCATATGAAGCTTGCTCTCCAACCAGGACACCCAGGTCTTTTTCAGCAAAGCTGCTCTGCTGCCAGCTGGCCCCTGCTGTATTGTTAATACCTGCTCTGTTGGCAGTGCTCAGTATTGGCAGATGGGCATCAAATCCTTTGTGATCTTCATCAGCATCTGTGTTTGTGGTACATGGAGCTGAGAGTGGCCTTAGCACAAGGAGGGACTGTATCCTCACTGTGGAGTCCTACAGCACCCAGGCAGGGTGTGCAAGGTTGGGCTGGCTACAGGAGCAGATTCTGTAACAGCAGAGCAAAAATAACAAGCAAAGGCTGGGCTTAGAACAGGAAAACCGATTAAAACTAAACATCCAGATAGTCAAATAAACCGAATACCTGCCACAGCCTCTGTCAGCATGAAAAGTGTCTCTGATTCTGCACCAATTAGCCTAGTGCTGTTTGTAGGTCTTTGCTTGAATACTCAAATTGAGGACTGATGAAAGCACACAAATGAAAGCAAAGAATAAAATGCTTCATCTTACTGGATGTGGTTGAACTGGGATCTTGCAGAAAGATTGAAATACTGATGCTGTGTCTAGAAGGAATTAGCAGCTGTCTCCTCACTTAAGTGAGCTTCTACTCTAGCAAAAGTGGCTCTCACACTGCCTTTTCAATGAAAGAGGAGAGTTCTATATAAGGGATATAGAGATACTCCATGATGGAAGTAGATTATTCCAGTCAATAAAGGAGGACAACAATATGTGATTGACAGTGTACTGGAATCTAGAAGAATGGCACAGCTGTACTACTGTGTGTCTCTGTTTGTTTCATAGGATGAGCCATTAGCATAATTTATGTCGGAAGGAATCTAGGGAAGCATCTAGTCCAGCCTCCTGTTCCACGTGGGGTCAGATGAACTTATTTAGGGCTTTATGCAACTGGGCCTGGAAAGCCTCCAAGGATGGAGATGGCCCCGAATCCCTGGAGAGGCCGGACTGTGCCCTGGCTCACAGCGCCAAGGGTGCTGCTGTCCCAGCGTGACCAGGACACGCTGACCCCGCTCGGCTCCTCTTCTCCACGTGGCCGCTCCCAGCTGACGTCACCCTGGCGCTGTGTTGTCCCAGGGAACGTGGATATCATAGGGTCCCAATTGGCCTGTTTCTTTGCCTGGATTTTGATAAGTGACTAGAGTGAATAAGCGTTATCTCTTTAAACTTGTAGCAGAGAACCTGACAAGGTTTAGGAAGGGTGGGATTTTTTGTTAATTTTTGGTTAGAACATATATAAAAATAGAAGAAAATGTTCAGGGTAACATCATTTTGAATAGTGACTGCTTTTTGATCAGTGGTAGAGAAACATACATTTTAGGAGCTCATGCTTGTCACTTTAATTTCTGCCTTTCAGTTCACATACTGATGTGTGATTCTTTCTGTTTGCTTTTGGTAAATATATAGCAGCTTGTATAATACCAGCATGTTTTATTTCTATGAATATATCTAATTGAAATGAAATTAACTTCATTTATTTTACCTCATTTAGTAGAGCAAACTAAAATTCCTGACTTCTTTGTGCCCTTCTAAAGAAATATGTCTTAATGGTATACAGGGACAAGCAGACAAGTATATACCTGATTCATCCCCTTAGAAGTTTGGTTTTGTCTAAGGAATCATACAATGCTTTTTCTGCTGCATTACCAACTGTAGGTAAAGAGCATAGTTAACTATGTCGTTGTTACATAAATGTCATGCGTGGCTATAGATGGATGATGAGGCAAGACTGCTCATTTTTTTATTGTGTTTCTGGAAGAAATTATATTTAATGCAAAAAGTTATGCTTTCCAACACCACTAAGCTTGAAAACTAACCTTATAACCTGTTGTTGATTCTTCTTTAGAGATTATTCATATCCTTTTACTATTTTCCTTCTGTTTCCTCTATATGAGAGATGTGTTTAGCCAGACTTCTTTTTTTTTTCCATTTTCTTTCTGAATAAACATTTCTTCCTCCCTAGATTTTTTGAAAACAAGACTTTAATGATCCAGAGGATTTTGAGGGTTAGACTCAAAATTTAATGTATGAAGTTACTTGGAAAAAAATCAGAATTCTTTATTTGAAAGATTTCTTTGTGGCTGGAAGGAGTAATTCTGTGATCATGAGCAAGTCTCACTGGAACAGTAATAAAACTGTAAAGAGAAACAGTAATACAACTGTAAGAACCCTTACTTCAGTAGTCTTAGAGACCTGGCCTGTTGATTTTTTTCCCATGCTTGTAGTCACTAGGACTTAGCAAATAATTTTTTGGGAATGTTAATAGCATAAATACATTACTTTATGAGAATTCTTGATATTCTTTCAAAAGGAACAGGTGGAGAAATTCAGCAACTTTAAAATTAGATACAACTCACTACATTACTCAATTACTGACTTCTTTTTTTCATTTAGGCTATATTGAAAAAGCAAACCTATGTGATACGCCCTGTGTCAGTCTAGCAAAGGTCTGGGGAGGGGACAGGAGTTTTTTTATATAGAAGTTGGAGAGAGATTAAGTTTTAGGAGGAACAAAGGAGTGAGGTGTAATCTTCTGAGGGAAAAATATTTGGATTAGCCAGTGAGAGATTTCGTTTCTGATAGGGATCCCCTACAACAAAGGTGTGCTTCCTGGTGTGGGATTGCAAGTTCAATGGAAGTTACAAGAAGGGTGTGAAAGGAGGTGTGAGTGGGAGAAAACGCTAGAAACCTGGGGTAAAACTTGACGTATATTTACACCATTGTAACTAGAAAGCCTGAGCTTGGACTAGTACCTTATTACTATTATTAAAAGGGTTTTTTGTTTGTTTGCTTCAGTTGGCTTACTGCTTCAAGTCATCATCTTTTTGTTTAATCCAAATCAGTATGTATGGTGCCAAAATACCTGCAATAAGGTTGCTCAACAAGGTACAGTCCACGGAGGGAAATTGACTTTATATTGTTGTGTGTGTATGTCCATGTTTGCAAAAAAGAGGCTCTTAGTTTTACAACCAGTAAATAAGTATTGCATCATCACCACAAGAATCATACCAAAGCTTAAGGCAATTCAGAGGATCAGCTAAATAGCTTATTGTTAACTTACATTAAAAGCAGCTCAACTTTTGAGTTTCCTTAACTAAATTTCTAAAATGAAGAACTATCTCAATTATTTTGCTCTTAATTATAGGAGTAAATATATAGGTCTTTCTGTAGGTTTCAACTTTCAATTGGTTTCAGGACAGCAAAAAAGTGAGATGTGAAGTTCATTGTGTTTCCCCTTTGGAATGACACAGTAGAAGGGAGAAGGTTTTTAATTTTTTTTCTTTTTTTGGTATGTCCTGTAACAACTAGTGCAGTGAGCTGCTTTAATTAGATTTTATACTCACATAATGTTAGGGTGGGTTCTTTTCATCCATCCTCACTAAAGTATTTTGCATTACATATTTTAGGTACCTGCTACATTGATTCATTTCAGTTACATTTTTCTGAAAGAATGTGCTTTTCATTTCACATATTACTGAATACTTTCAGCCTGTTATAGTGACTTGCAACTTGTGTCATGTGAGCATTGTCCTTGCTTTGCTCATCTGAAGCAATACTGTACTTAAATTATATGTATTTGAGTTTGCCTCAACATGTTGGAGGTATTTTACACCCAGTTAGGTTTTTGGCAGTTTGAGAATTGGAAACTGAACTGAATCTTGAGGAAAATTTCAGAAGAGTACTCCTTGAGAAATGCAGGAAAGTGGTGCTAATTAGTAACTCACATATTTTTAAGTCCTCTGAGTTATATAGTTCTTCTCTGTGTTATATCTGAAATGATCTCTATAATATTCCTCCTCATTGCTGAGCTTCAGAGTTAACACTTCACACTCAAAATAGGGTGATTTTCATATAACTTTTTATTGCATATCTTATAAATAAAAGAACCATAGAACACTTTCAGACAAGTCTGGTCACCACGTTGAAAATGTGTGTGTTGAAACTTTAGAAAAAGCAGGTAGCTAAGCTTGTAAATAAACCTGATTGATTGTGCGGGCGGCTGCTGCTGCTCACTGTCTTGACAAGGGCTGCCTGGGTCTGAATGGGGATGATCGGGCAGCCCTGCCCCAGTCCCAAACCTTTTCCCAAGTGATTGCAGCACTGACCTACCTGTAAATTAAAAAAGGAAAAGAAAAAAAAAAAGAGTAAGTAGTACAGATGGCTTTAAAAGAAAATACGTTGGTTATTTTGTATTATTCTAGTGATATTTTTATCTTCTGAAAATGTAGTACGTGCTCTCTGACTGGCTGAAACTTAAATGTGCTGGCTAGGTTTAGAAACTAAGTTGTGTGTTTTATTCCTGGCTCATTATTTCGTTTCTGCAGTTGAGTAGAATTATGTTTAAGTGGTGAACTTTTGAATAGATGTGGGAAAGTAGGTTTTTAGTAGGCCTGTTACTAACTAGGTAGTAATTATGTTCACATATATCCGTATAGACAAGTTTCCATGGATAAAATTTTAACAAATTAAAAAAAAAACCTCTCAAAATATTTTCTGTTTTAGATTTGTACTATGGTGGAGAAGCTTTCTCTGTAGAGCAGCCACAGTCTTTTACTTGTCCTTATTGTGGAAAAATGGGTTATACGGAAACATCTCTTCAAGAACACGTTACTTCTGAACATGCAGAAACATCAACAGAAGTGGTAAGAATCGTTAGAATTGGTTTTCATGTGTGATAGAAGAATACATAAAATCTTTCCTCTAGAACATCAGTATCTTCCTTTGCTTTTCCGTTTTTCTTCGAAGCATAAGTTCATTTCAGTGCTTTTTTTTAAAGTGTGTGTGTGTATATATGTGTATAACTACATTTGACAGACACCAGAATTCTCTTCGTCTTAAAGGTGTCCTGATATAACAGGACTCTCCCCCCCACCCTGACTGCCATGTTCAGAAGCTTATTTTCTCTAAATTTCTCTAGATTTTTCTTCACATTGTTACTCTGTTGTATTTTATTTATTTTTTCCACAGTCAATTGCATAATTACCAAACGAGTTCACTATGTCTTCTAAGTCTGTAGCTATGCCAGTTTTCTGTAATTCTTAGGTAGAGGAAGGTATGCAGACATTTTTGAACAGCTTTTTTTAATGGACTAGGTGTGTTTCTACATCAGAAGTTGTTCTGTTGAAGCTGTTGCTCTTGAGCCAGAAGTTCTTTCCTTCGCTTCACATTAAGGCAGTTGAGAAACATAGAATTAAATATACATATGGAATTGAATATACATTTCTCTTAAGTATTTCTATTGATACTTGTTTATCAGTGTTCCTGTTTAACTTTGGGAGTAGAAGAAACTAGGTTGGCATCTAATATCTTTTATTTGGATTATCATGTCATAAATTCCTGTATAAATTCACAATTTTTTCTTGAAAAGGCCTTACAATTATTAAAAAAAAAAAAAAAAACCTACATGTGTTGGTGCTCTTGAAATTTATGTAAAAGAGTTTTGATATAACACATACTTTACTAAGACAGGACTAATATGATTTCTACCCCCTCCCAAGTAAATAAAAATTATTAAATCCTGTTAAAAAAATGTGAGACAATGTTGGTTCATTCTGTTATTCAAAAATAGCTATAACTGAAAAAAATGTAGTACGCAGAAATAACTGTATATGTAACTCTGTGCAGTGGCATTTGCTGTTTGTTTTCAGCTCCCCACTTGCTTGATTTTGTGCTGATAGCCATTATCAATTTAAGTGTTCAGTTGCCATTTGTACAATTTCTATTTCCTATTGGAAAAAGCGGTTTGCTCCAGCTTCTATCAAGTGCCCTGATCATCTAGATGATCATCTAGGTGCTGCTTATGCCAAAAGATTTTACAGGTATGAAATTCTTCTTAACTGCTGGTGGTGCTTGAATGTTTAAGCTGTTGTTTTAGAAGAGCCTGTAGGTCTTGTTTTTTTGGATTACGTTTTTTATATATATTTAAACCCTGTTGCATAATTTCAGCAGCAGTCCTGTCTAAGGTTCCTAGAAAAATGTGAATGCTTTAAGCAAATTACTCATTACTCTTTACTAATAAAGAAATGTCTCATGACCTTAGCATTCTTTAGTCTTCTATTTTTCTTTTAACTGTCAGGGAATTCTGTGGAAGAAAAAGTATCTTTCTTCTATATGAGACTCTTAGCAGCCTCCAAGAGGAGCGATAGGGGAGGTGTCTGCACCTTTTTGAGACCCAAGTGTAATCTTATCTTTCCTAACAATCTGGAAAGTAAACTTCCAGTTCAAACCTGCTGCACCATAGGACCATAGCACATGGTAGTGACACACTACAAGTTATGTTGTTTTGAGTTGTTCTATAACTGTGCAAGGTTTAAACATAGTGTAAACCGTTGGAAGTCACCCACATTCGGGTGACTCTGTCATGACTTGATACTGTAATTCTGATTTGCACCACTTGATGTCAGTGATATGCTCCAGACACAGAATATTAAGATCTAGATTATTAAAATTAGCATGGTCTTGTCTGTTTTGCGACTCTCAAAATTCGTGCAGCCCAGCCTTGTGTTTTCAAATACCTGCTACTCCACTGATTTCTGAGTTTGGTGTGTGAAAACAAGTCTTTACTGATCAATTGTGGATCAGTCTACAATATTGTTATACTGTATCTCTGTTCCAAACTCACGATAAAGAACAAAACTGTACTGCTTGAGTGTGATTGTGTATGTTTGTGCTAAGTGTTAAATCAAGCTTTTTGTAATAAAGCGTTTAAGTGTGAATATGCATACAGCTGGGTAGTGGAGTTCTAGTAAAATGCTGTATGATATTACTGAAGAATACCTCTAAATCTTTGTGGCCCTTTGTGTCAAGCAGTTATCTCTGTTCAGATGCTCACATCTAGTCCTTATAGTTGCTGTAGTTTTTTATAGAAGTCTTTATTTCATAATTTTAAACCAGGTTTGCAGGAATTACATTTTTATTATTATTTTACAATGCAATAATTTGTATTTTTATTTCAGTCATGCTAACTTTTTTCTTAAAAAAGTTAATCACTGATGTTCAACAGGAAAAATGCGTTCTTCAGATACTTTTGCTGTTAGTATTTTTGAAAAGCAAGGATTGAATTCTGCCGTTTTGTAATCAGAGTGGCACAGATTAGAATGTGTGGTTGTTGATTTCTTGGGTCTTCAGTATTACTCACTGATTTTCTTTGTTGTTCATTTAACAATGAATGTGGGTATTCATTGTTACCTACTTTAAAAAAAAAAAATAAAGATTGATTTAGATGAAAAATAAAACTTCAGTAATTACAAGCCTTTCTTCCCCAATAAGAGGACAGTGGTAATAGTAATATAGGATAAGTGCAGAAGAGTCTGCCTATCTTTATGCTGATCTTATTGCTGATGTTGGGTTTCAGTAAAATGGGCTGATCAATGAATAAAATACAGCATTTAAGTAGAAGTCTGCTGGCTTTGCAAATCCAAAAATAATAGGAAATTTCCTTAAATATCATACCCGAATCATGTTTCAGAATAAAGACACAATTTTTCTGCCATTACACTGTATTTAGCAGGTTTCTTGTGTTCAACAAGGCAGTAACTAGTCTACCAGGTCTAGTTGGACCTGGCTTATGGACCAGATCTTTGACGTGTTGTAAAAGTTAAGAACTTTTCTTGCAGTAATGAAATAGAGGGGACAAAGTAAATGGTTCCTGTTTCATTCTTGAATGTTATAGTAATTCATTCAAGTGACAGGTTTTCTGTCAGCACAAAATTATCATATACCTGTATAGAAACAGGGAGAAAATGGTAATGTGAGAAAGCTTCTGGAAACGGGCAGGTATTCTATCACTTGGAACTAACTAACATAGAACTTTGAATGAAATCCAAATGAGGCTTGCAAAATAACATGATTTGTTAAAACAACAAAAAAGGTAACTTCCAGGAGAAGCTTCTTGATGCTCTTTTCCTCTGGATTGCACCAGATAGTTGTGCACGTGACACTAACAGAGGTAATGTTAGCTGCAGCATCACACCTGACCAGTGATACTGCAGTCTTTGTAATGACTGATAGGCATTTTGCCAGTACTAGTGCTTAACTAAGCTCTGTTTGCTTATACCAATGTTCTACCAGCTTGTGTTAAAGAAAAACACTGGAGTGCTATGAATGCTAGAGAGTAAGGTTTAGGACCCTAATTTTCCCCTTAGTGTTCCTTTTATTTTTTCCTATATGATATTTTTCTAAGGATGACCTCTGCTCTTTTGAGGAGAAATATGACCTATTCAGAATTTGATTGTTAGGTTAAGCTGGGTAGAGCTTTCTTCTATTTAGTTGCTTTATAAAACATGTTCCTTTGTGATGTGGTCCTGCAAGCTTGGTGAAAAAAGGAGAACCTTCTTGATTGAAAATTGAGCTGTTTATAAGTAAGGATGTGGACTTTATAATATTGATATTTCATCTGTACATACATTTCTTTCTCCCTACTGATTAGCTATATGATATATTGGCATAATTCAGTATTTATTACTTTGGATTGCTGGGGAAGGTGGGCGCGATGCTCATTTTGGGAAGGAGAGAACTATTTCTGCATGTAATCCTGGTGTAGTGGGTTTGAGGAGAAACATTTTTCTGGGTTTAATTTGCTTGACTGGTTGCTCAAAACCTGTATTTAAAAGTGAAAATTTCATAGCAGAAAAACGCATTTTGAAATCATGATTGAAATTCTTGTTTTTCATGTTGAATAACATCTTGTTGTTCTTGATTTTGCTCTAAAATTGTGTGATTTGGGCAGGTAAATGTGCCATGAAAGTTATAAAAGATAATTTGCAAAGGGTAAAAATACTGTCCTTAGTCCTGCTTATATACAAAAGATTTTTCAGAAGTTACTTTTTTAGTTTTGGGATGGAGTAAAAAGGTCATATGCCTTTTTTCCTCATTAAATTCTGATCTGCCTTAAATGCTGTGGTTCTGTCTATGTGAATCTTTTCTCTGGTGTTTGAATTGGGCAACTGCACAGCATTTTACTAGTTGTTGTGTCCTTCCGTGTGCCATAATAAAATAACTTTGCTCCACAGTAAGGGTTCCTGTGATCAACTTGAGTGTGTGCATGAAGAACCTGGGCAGCCCGAGCTTTGAGTTGCAGCCAGGGCTGCCTCACTAAGACAATCCCTTAGACTCTGAAGAAGAGGCAAATGTATAGGTTGCAGTTGTATTGAATTGTCCATGTGCTGTTAGTATTGATGGTCTTTAAACCTTCAAAGTCGTCCTGCAAAACTGTATTTAAAGTGCCTTTTCTCAAGATGCTGTGAGATCAACACCTGCAGCACGTTTATTCTTTTTAATACGGAATTGTGGGTATATCTGTGGGTGCCGATAACACAATTTTTGAAGCATAAAAATCCGTGTCTAGTGCTTGGCTCAATTGTGTGTGTTTTGTGTGAAACTGATAAAGTTGGTTTTTATCTCTGTCGTTTCAGATTTGTCCAATATGTGCAGCATTACCTGGAGGGGATCCTAATCATGTCACAGATGACTTTGCAGCTCATCTTACACTGGAACACAGAGCTCCTAGAGATTTAATATCCTTTCTAATATCCAGAAACCAACTGGTCAATTGCCATACAGTAGCCATAACTGCTTGCTTAGATTTCATACTCAGATATTCGTGTATCACATTTTCCTGGGACTTAGTTGCTGGAGACTTACATCTCAACTAGCAAATTAATTTTTAATTTAAGAAAAAATATACTGTGAATAGAGTGTAGGTATACTTGACAGTGTTTTCTCTGATAGGGAAAAAAAAATTAAGTTTAAAATCCATCTTTTTGCTACGTGTTCTACAGTTACTTCTTGTATTCTTCCCTAGTCGTTAGTTTTGATGTTACTTTGTGTGTCTGAAAGCAGCACTCCAGAGTCAGTAGTCTGCTGCAAGTGTTTGTGTGACCAGAAGTGGATGCTCTGATCAGAGGGTAATTGGTTTTGAGAAATAATTTTAATTTTTTTGTTTAAAACGTAACTGTGCTTAATCTGTCAAAAGTTACATTGTTAATGCTTATAAGACCATATTGAAGGTCATATTGCCATTACATTGCAAGGTTAGACAATATTGTAGGTCAAACTTTGGGTCTCAGACATTTCCCTAAAAACCTTAGTGGAGTTAACTCTGAAAGCCAGGACGAGCACTTTTTTGTCAGGAATGGCTGCGTGTATTTGCTGCATTTGCTGTTGTCAGTGCTGTGCATCCATTGCAAGGCACATGCTTTTTCTGATGGTCTCTGGACCGCCCTTTAGGGGCCAGTTCCTTTATTTTTTAGGAAAACATTTTCAGTATGTTTCAAGGTAGCTCTACTTACTGTATATGTGTGTAGTAAGTTACGGCCTACAAAGGCTGCTCACTAATTTCTTCACTTTCCTCGGCAGCACAGTTAGGGCTTTGGGCCTTTTTTCATGCAGGTGGAAGTAAAATCCCTGTATTTTAGCAATAAACTCTGCAAAACATGCATTGTCAGGGCTTCCTAGTTAACTAGGAAAAGACTTTTCTGGAAAACGGAAGCCCATGTTGCTGTTTCTTAGGCGTAGCAAAGAGCTGCACAAACCTGCAAGGTTTGGTGCGTGCGTGCGTCCGCGGGTGTCCTGCATCCGTAAGGCTCCAGCCTGGCTTCGGGACCCGGGTGCCACCTCCCGTGGCAAAAGCTCTCGCTGTTTATTGCCCAGCGCCAGGCACTGTGCTTCCTTGACCGCGTGATCACGACGAATCCAGTGGCGTCCGGCATGTCCGTAGAATGTTCCACCCAGGCCGGGGCCTGGGAGGCCCCCGCGCACGCCGATCAAACATGCACTTTACTAGCAGCTCCACTGGCGGGCTTTCATCTTCTCAGAGCTCCTATTCTCCAAGCAATAGAGAAGCCATGGATCCTATAGCTGGTAAGGGCTGCGACACGCCGACAGCCAGGCCTTTACATATAAAATTCAAGGTGGTGGTTGCTCTGCTTGTCTCTGTTCCTCAACCACGTGTGCAGGGTGCTCCACAATGCAGATATGTGTAATAGGTGCTGACTGATGAACCCTTGTCTTCCTTGGGTTGTGCCTTGAACTGCCAAGCCCAAAGTCACTGCCCCATTAGCTTGTGCTTGCTGTCCTAGCAGTATAGGGCTGCTCTTAAAGGCCAGTCTGTCCACAGAGTGTGTGTTTTTTTACACACTAGTTTCTCACCTCTCTGACATGCAGTGGTAGGACTCACTTTAATTTGCTGTGTGTATGGAGGTGTTACAGAGGAGGTGATGAATTTCAGTTTATATTTTCACAGATTCACAAAGCATGAACTCTTTGGAGTTCATGAAGATTAAATTAGCTGGCTTTGTTTACTGTTGGCCATACAAAACATGTTCTGTTTACATTCAGAATGCCGTTTTAATGCCAGACTTGCTCATTTCAGAGGTTTTTCAAATTTGCCTTTCAAGGCATTTGCACATTTTGTGGTCTAGTTCCAAGAGCACTGTGCAGGGAAGAAGGGGATCTCCCTTTCAACATCGGTCCATCGCAGAGATGTGCTGTCAGGGTTTCCAAGTATAACCTCTTCTGTGTTTGTTTATCTTTGATATGAAAATAGCTTTTTAAAGGGGGGGGGGAAAAAAAGCATGAAAATTCTTAAGGCACAAGTTCTCTTAATGGAAAATACTAAAATTTTTATTGCCCGTATAAATACTAGGGAAACTTTAGGTCCTCCTTTTGCCCCCCTACCCTTTGCTTTGGGTGCTGAGAGGACATAAATGCCCCCAACTGGGACTTGGTGCAACAACAAGGCTGAGACTTCTTGAGAGGCGCCAGCCTGCCCCCTTAGTGAGGCCCTGCCCCACAGGGCGCTGTGGCTGCTGCCTTCCCGAGGCCTGGTCCCCCCTGCCTTCGTGTCTCTGTCTTTGCTGGACCTCCGTCACCTAATTTAACTCATTAAATTAGCTGTGGAAACTACCGCAACAGGAGGAGAAAATAAATGAGTTAAAGGAGGTCACAGTAGGGCCTGAAAAGCAGTGGGATTTGCTCAAGAAGGGGGATGTTTGCATGGCCCCAAGGGCCAGGCCTCTCTGTCAGCCCAGCTAAATGCAGCGACTGCCCCATTTTTGTTCTTAGCATTCCCATTTAGGGGCATCATATGTGTGGTAAAATGCCTTTCTTCTGAGTCTTTCCTAACATGGTGCAAGTTGCCTTTTAGCCGTTGTGCAGTTTGGGCACCCGTATCGCACCAAGCCACTGCTCAAGGGTGCAGCTGCTTCCAGAATGTAGTTCAGTTATAGGTACATTGCAGTGAGGGGAAAATTACAGCTGTATCCTGTCTGGCAGTTTTATGTGTCTTTAACTGGAGTAATAAATCTTGAGACCATCTGAGGTGGCAAGTCTGACTTGAAATAAGAAATATTTGTAGGGTCTGTTTCATTTTAACATTTTTCTCCCTGTGGTGTTTCCCAGTAATTAAAATGAGGGAAAAAAAAAAAGAGTATTTGAAGAGTATGGTGATATCTGCTGATAAAAGTGGCCGTCCAAAAGTCCCTAACACAAAATTGCTGCACTTTATTCCTACAGTGATGCCTTATTTAGTAAGATGATACTTGTTGTAGGCCATGATAATTTTCTGTGTATTTCAGTGTGATAGAGAGGGCAGGAGCAACAAAAATGCTCTTGCACTCCACTTCAGGGTGCAGAAGAGATTCTGCAGTTACTTACTGAGCAGTACCTCACTGGTAGGACCTATTTTGAAAAGAAATTTTGAGGACAAAGTTTGCCATAAATGCATCTCAGAGATGGGGGACTTAATGCCAGGCATTTTAAATGGCTTTTCTGTGCTTCTGGCAGATAATAGAAATTCACACAGTAAAAACGTTCTGTAGCAGCAGCTTTGGTGTCTGGTGATACCTTAAAATGTTTTCTTAATTGGAGGACAAAAGCATTCGGTCAAGATGAGTGGAATCACTGAACTGAAACAAAGCCAACCTTGATGTAGTGGATGTTGTTGTTCTCTGCTGCACAGCTTCCCTCCAGAATATCGGGGAGGTAAAGCTTGTGTATTTGCTGAGAGGAAAATCAAATCCCTAACCAGAGCCAAACTGAAGAGCTTTTCAGACAGTTGCTGTTTTGACTTGAAGTTAAGGGGTTGCTGCAGAGGACATTCCTCATAGATGGCATCTCCTGCTATATTCCAAAGGCTTCAAACTCATTCTCCCCTTCGGAGCAGATCCGTGCAGGAATGAGTCTCGGCCGTCGCGGTGCCGAGCAGGGCGCTCGGGCTCTGCAGCGTTGCTCGCTGCCGATCGCGCTGGGGAAAGAAAGGGTCTCCCTGCGCGCGTGGCCGGGCCGCGCTTCCCGCTGCGCCCGCAGACACCCTGTTCTCCCCGCAGAGCTGCTGTCCCAGCTGTCGGGCGTGAGGCGCTCGGCGGGAGGACAGCTCAACTCGTCGGGCCCGTCGGCGTCGCAGCTGCAGCAGCTGCAGATGCAGCTGCAGCTGGAGCGGCAGCACGCGCAGGCGGCGCGGCAGCAGCTGGAGAGCG